AAAGAGAGAAACAACAAGAATAGAAGGGGGGTGCAGAAAAAAGTCAGTACAGAGTTGACAATGTTGAACTTTACTTGAGCCCTGATCTCCCCAAAAAACAGTAATAATAAAGAAATCCCTCCTACCACTTTGTTCCAGAATTGGCTAACCTCAAAGGACCACCCTGCCCTAGCATATTCTAAAATAAGACCTGTCTTCATCCTTCCTTCCATTTTTTTTTTTTTTTGAGATGTTTCTCAGAAATGAATGTTCTCCTTATTGCAATAGCCTGGATGAAATTATCTCCCTAAATGTCTGGTGCATTTTGTCTTCCACAAGAACAATATGTACAAAGACACAGAGGCAAATGCACGCGTAGGCTGACCTGGGGAGGTGGGAGAGAGGAGGAAGACATGGAAAGGGTGAGGCCGAGGACCAGGAAGGACGGCCAAAAGTTAAGTTGGGAGCAGAGGTGGTGAGCCTTGTATTGGGGGCAGTTTGAACTTTATGGTAGAGGCAACAGACAGTTACCGAATATCCTGAACCATGGGAAGAGGCAGATGCATGTTTTAGAAAGAGAACTAGAAGGAGTATTAAGAATTGATGGAAAAGAAGACTGCCCCATTTGCAAGTGAAGAAATGAGTTGAGGAAAATGTGGAGCTAAGAGATTAGTAAAGACAGTAGTAGAAGAGGTGGGAGGAAGGGGCTAGAAATGAGGTTTCAACATAAAAGCAACAGAACTGACAAACGATTGAATGTAAATGGTAGGAAACACTTAGAAGCTACTGTGTGGTTTTTTAGCTTGAGTTACTTACTACATGATGGTGATTCTATGAACTGAAATGGGAAATCTTAGAAGTGGTAAAGATTTGGGGCAGTATGTGGTGGAGATGGAGTGGGAATTGAAGTTCAGAAGTTGGATATATATATATATGCACACATATACATACAGTTAACACATGTAAGTGATTAATGATGTGAGTTAATATATTGATAGAAAATTACTAATAAAGTGACTCAATATAACAAATATATAATATAATATATTAATGATTAATGATGTGAGTATATATAAAACAATGATTGGATAATCAGAGTTTTTTTTAGATAGTTGCCACTTTGCACTCTAGAAAAAGCAATTGGAACAAAAATCAAAAAGAATTTACATTGATTTCCTTATAGGGAGAAGACAAGCTAAAGAAAGGTAAGGAAGTGGAAAGAAAGTCACCTGGAGCGATTTTTGCCATCCACTTAGGATGGAGGGGATTGAATTATAGGCTGTTCTGGAATAATCAGATAACAGTTACCTCCATCTCTTCCTTTCAAGTGTGGGATTCAGGAAGATCATCTAGTTCAATGGCTTAATTGTATGTATGTTTTCACAAGAACCAAGAAGTTAAGGAACATATTAAAAAGTAGGTGTAGGTCATGATTCCTGGTTTAGGAAGTGAGCTCCTGAAACTAGCTTCCTGGTTATAAGCTGGGTTATGAAGTCCTTGCTGGAGTTCTCCACGAGGCAGTTGCAGCCAGCCATTGGGATGATCCGTGAAAGGAGAACACAAGTAAACACTAGTCCTGAGAAAATGCCTTAGGACTTTACCATGAAAATGTCCGCATTCTTGCTTTCCTTGACAAAGCACAGAAAGAAATAGAGATAATAGTAAATACATGAGCTAGAAAGAAGCTAACAGAAGGGATAGGAATTGCTTGGACAGGTTCATGGAATGTCATAATATTATACAGGAAATATTCAGTTCAAAGCATTAGTCCTTTGACTAATGTTTCCTAATGTCAACGGTAGCTAGCTATGGAACAATCTATTTTTTCAGTCTAGTGGAAGATACCATTGACAAAGTCACTTAAAATTGATTGACTGAAACACTTAAGGGAAGCAAAAGAGGGTAAAATATGAATTTTGGCAGCAGAGAGGCCAGAAAGGCATTCCTTATTTCTATTTTTGGCATCCACTGAGTGAACTGATCAGTTAACACCTTCCTGCTCAGGAAGGCAGTCTTTAAACACTGAGGAGCTTGATGAATCAAAGCTTCAATAGCTAGATTTCAATTTCCTTTCTTCCTCTTTCCCTCAAATGAACAAAGGCCAGGAAATATACATCTGCAGTAACCAGCTTTTTAAATACTCAAATCACAAGGCAATAATCAGAAGTTTCTGTTTTCAGGAATGATTCTAATAAAATAAAGAAAAGCAAAAGTTATTTTTAGAGGAAGGAAACTTCCAGCAGATTTTTTTTCCCTGAAATGATGCTTATTTCCCCCCTGATTGTAAAAAGTAGCATATGGAACGCCAGTAGACATGATGCCATAAGTTAATGCTTTGACACATCTGTTCTCTTCCAAAAACAGAGCACAGATTGATAAAAATACAGAAAGAGAAAACCAGAAAGACATCTAGAGGTTAAAAAGCAGAAAAAAGAGAAGGGCAGGATGGCAGAGAAGACCAAAAAGAAAAGGTCTCTAAAGGGCCAAGCCTGAAGACATTGGCCTACTGTACTCCAAGTCCAGAAACAGGCAGGTAGCAATGAGTGGAACTTCAGCTTCTACTGGGGTTTGGGGACTAAAAATGTTCCCTTGAAACAGGTGACCTAGCTTCACCCCCAGAAACTGAACCACGCTGCTCTGGCTTAGTGTAATATTACCACACAGCAGGAGACCCAACTGGTTCTTGACTAGAGGCCAAGGACTGCACAAACTATTAGACAGGGAGGAAGTAGTATGAGAAAGAACCAAAGAAAACAATGGCACCAACAAACGAAACACCCTCCCATCAAAATGACCTCCAATCCCAAACTCAAAAACGCACGAACAAGTAATATTAGTACAACTAAATCAACGACCTACAGAACTGGACAAGAAGATACTGATAAATCTCAGTTATGCTGAACATTTGAACACACCTGTATCAGAGACTGAGAGGTGAAGAGTAGAAAAATATTAAGAATATAAATGATGTAAGCAACATCTCGTTCTTGACCAGTGAATCCTGCGGGAAAGTCAGCTGAGAAAAAAACTCTTTTGGAAAAGACTTTCTTCCCTGAGAAAAAGAGAGCTAGGTGAACAGAAGTTTTCCTTTCTTCCTCTCCTGGTACATGATGACACACTGCCTGGAACTGTGTCAGCCTCCTGGACCATGAGGGTGAACGGCAGCCGAGCACTGAGACATGGGCAGGAAAGTGGACAGTGCTGGGCTCTTGATTACATCATCGGTCTACTGCACTACCCCGGAACCACCACCAGCAGATTTCATCCCATGTAAGCTGAGGCCCCAACAGCTGCCTCTTCCTGCCCTTGCTTAGTGAGAGCCTACAGCCTGGCCAGACTATCACCGTAACCTCCGAGCACCCCCACCCCTCCCCATTCCTTTCTGAGGCTTTAGAGTCAGGCAGTGGGGGGAGACTCCAGCAAGTCACTCAACTCTCTGAGCCTCATTTCCTCCTCTATAAAGTGAGAATGATAATAATACCCACTTCATAAGGATGAGGGGCAATTAAATGAACTCAAGTACTTCAGACAACATCCAGAAGCATTCCATAAATGCAGGCTATTGTGTGTGTGTGGGGGGGTGTTTTCCCAGGGTTCCACTGAGTTTTACATAATCACAGGATAATGGCAAGGCTATCGTTTGTTTAAACCACACCTGCTGATGTAGAAGTAATGCCAAGCTCTGCTAAAATATGGGCACACATGCCTCAACATTTTAAACATGTATAGATTTTTAAAAACTTCACGTTGTGGGGCACCTGGGTGGCTCAGTCGGTTAAACGTCTGCCTTCGGCTCAGGTCACGATCCCAGGGTCCTGGGATCGAGCCCCGCATTGGGCTCCTTGCTCAGCGGGAAGCCTGCTTCTCCCTCTCCCTCTGCCGGCCGCTCCCCCCTGCTTGTGCTCTCTCTCTCACTATCTCTCTCTGTGTGTCAAATAAATAAACAAAATCTTAAAAAAAAAAAACTTCATGTTGTAAGTTTTATGACACTTATTTTTACATCTCCAAAATTTACCCTAAGGTTCTTATTCTTGGAGGAAAACAAACCTGAAGGCAAAGACAATAACCTTTTCTAAGCAAAGTACAGTAAAATATCATCCTCTGAGGTATTAAAACGGCACTTAAATAGCTAGACAATTCCTGGTCTTTGAAGACAGTTCACAGTAAAGATATTAAATTGCTGCTAAGGGTTTAGACATTTAACTTTCAAGAAGTTAGATTGATGATGATCATTATTTTCAATACTGTTGCGTATTTACCCAGCAGATTTCCCCCAAAGAGCCGAAAGGCTTAACAGAAACCTGAAAGCCAAGGTGCTGCAGGCCGGAGGCCTTGAACTAGCTCGATGCTTGCCTGCCGTTGGAGTAACAGGAACCGCAGCGGGGAAGAGGCAAGGAGCCGCCTCCACCTGGTGTGTGCTCTGTGCAAGCGTCCCCAGCTCCGAAGCAACAGGAAAAGAACTTGGAAACTGCACTTCAAGCCTTTGCTGCAGAGTCCAGCCCAGCTGAGGCCTGTCAATCCCCTCAGCTCAAGTACAGTCTGTCCAAGCCCCAGAAGCAAAGGGCACTGCTTCTCCAGCATTTGTTTGCTTCCTCCTCATAAGAGGGCTGGGGAGCACAGTCTGGACTGCAGTCCACACCCAGAGATGCCAAGGGCCTTCCTCATGCTGGGGGAATATGATGGGAGCCTGGCATTGGGCTAACGTCTATTCAGCTGGGAGACATGGGACAAACCAGCTAAGCCCCCGGTTCTCTCATCTGTAAATACTCAGGGCTGGGATTGATCCAAGGTCCCCATCAATGTAAGAGCCTATGTTTCTAAGGTGACAGCAAAACAAGATGGAAAATACACGGAAAAGAAATTTTAAAAAACTTTAATTTTATAAAAAGTGACCTCATGGTTAGAAGAGTCATGAAGAGAGTGGTTCAAGCAAAGATTTCACAAGCTGAATTACAAATAAACGAAACTTCAGTCCATTAACACAGTCTTCAACACTGTGTGACAGATAAAAGATGACTTACTGGTGATTCAATGTCTTCTAGGAGTAAAACAGAACAGCGTTCACATTTCAACAGAGTTTGGGCCCGATGCATTATTTTCTTGACAATTTTCTCCAGGTCAGTCTGTTCTTCAAAGAGGTCGTTAACAACCTCTAGCAAAGCCTAGGAAAGATAAAATGGATGTATTTAGGTGGGTACAGGACTGAATAAAAAAAAAAATTTTTTTCCTCTCAAAATTCCATTTGGTGTTTGCTGTAATAAAATATAAATATTTTTGTGTGGCTAATTTTCAAAGCATTGATGATTGTTTTGACATATTCCATCATTTTGTTTTATTTATTTAAAGATTTTATTTATTTATTCATGAGAGACAGAGAGAGAGAGAGAGAGAAGCAGAGGGAGAAGCAGGCTCCCAAGGAGCAGGGAGCCCGATGCGGGACTCGATCCCAGGACCCTGGGATCATGACCTGAGCTGAAGGTAGACGCTTAACCATCAGAGCCACCCAGGCGCCTTCCGTCATTTTGTTTTATAACACAGTTTTGAACTGAAAAATACAACTTGAGAGTAGTGCCAATCCATATAATCCTATATAAATCCCACATATAGCTATAGGACTATCTCCCGAGTAGCTAATGACTACAGGATCCCGTTTAGTCTGCTATAGCTCTAGGCTTCCCTCCCTACCCCCACTTCACAGGAGTTTTTCTGCAACATGACTAGGTATAAACCCAACATTTTCTAAATTATGAATACTTTATTCTCTCCAAAGAACATTTATTTCAGAAAATTACAAAGCAGGTCTTCCTCACTCAGGAAGAAATAGGTTCATGGTCAGACTTGAGACTTATTTTCCCTAATACACATCTCTCACAGAACTCTGAAAGAATTATAGGGGTGAATGCTAATTAAGCTTCAGAGCCTTCAAAAAAATATATAAAATCCCCATTAATCCCTCTACATAAGAAGTATTGCTTCATCTCACCTGTCCAGGAAAACACAGATACTAAAATATATCTCAGGAAAGAAAATACCATTAAAATTTCTGTTAAAACAACAGAATGAAAAACACACAAATTAAAGAAAGAAAACCCTAGAATTCTAACTTGAAAACCTGCATACTCACTTAAAAATCAAACGGTATAACCTCTCATTTTATCCAGCTAAGTTAGCTTGCAATTTTTGCATTGAAATAATATTTATTTGGAATTTTTAATAACATGGCTCTTTCTAGAGATTTCAGAATAGTGGGCTATGTACAGGTAGTAGGTATCATGCTTCTACCAGAGAGCAATCAGAAAATTAACACAGCCAGTGAACTGGCCAGAAGGTGCTTTGTTCAACAGAACTTAATAAGATGTACACTCTCAGGTCTGACCTCTCACAAAAGGATTTTGTGGGTTTTCAAATTCACCTCTATTCAGGTAGATGGTGTTGATGATTATCCCAGGGATATGACCAATTTTCAACTTTAGTAATGAATTTGATTTGTCCTGAAACCATTGGAAACATGTGAAAATTTCTTCTCTGAGTCTATTCAGGTAGAAAAGCATTTGAATGAATTAAGGGATCCATGAAATGAGTCTAGTTCACTGAGCATCTAAAAGAGGATCAAATATCCTTGGTGGCATTTTCTTTAAAGAGAGCCTGTGAGTATGGCTAAGGGCCTGGGTGGCTCTATGATCCTGAAGAGGAGAAACACCAGGAGGTGAAAAAAGTTTTGAGTGTATCCTGACTGTTTGGCATTTGGGCAGCAAATTGCTGTAAGAAGTCAACATGCAATAATTTCATATTTGAATATAACATTAAAAATGAGGCAATTGTCTGAATAATTACCAAAACAATTCCCTGTTATTAAGGGGGAAAACATTATTTCCTTAATCATCCAGACTATTTCTTCAGATGGATCATATTAACTGAACAATTATTTAACTTTTCAATTTGTTGTGACTGTGTGGATAGGGCTCCTGGGACCCATATACAAGAACATTTATCTCAGAGGAAAAACTAATTGTGCCTTGAGTCTTGCATTGACAAATCACATCATAGTAATTTTACTGTTTCTAATTAAAAATTGCTGCTTTACTAACAAGTGATAAAAGTTTCACAAATAATACAGACTAGCTCCACAATGGGAGAAAAAGAGAAGAAAATCTTGGATGATGGGCAATTCAACAGACATTGGAGGCTCCTCACACAGCTGAACATTCGCTGTTTCTTGACTTCCCTTGTATTGGCCCCCCTCCTTCGTCTAGTGCCTTCTTTTGCTTCTGGGCTCATCCTTGGACCTTTCCCTTTCTCCTATCTACAGATTCTCCTCCAGATTGACCCACTCGGTACCCTACTTTTAAGTATCATCTATATACTGATCATTCCTCAATACGACGAGTCTCGAGTCCTGACATCTCACCAAAACTTTAGACTCCTGTACCCAACTGTTTACTTGCCAGATGTACAAGCCAAAAGTCATTGTCACTCATTTCCCACATCAATAAGCTTTGGATATGTCACCACTAAGTTGGGAGGAAATCTCTCACTTCTTGCTCCTCTAGTCCCAGTCACATTGTTTCTTTTTTTCCTAGTTCTATTGAGATATAATTGACATATAACTTTGTGTAAGTTTAAGGTGTAAAATATGATGATTTGATACATTACATGTTGTTAAATGATCACAAATGTGCTTTTGTATCAGATCCAAAAAATCACTGGAGCCTTTGCCCTATGTTTTGTTCTAGAAGTTTTAGTTCCATGTCTTACATATGTATCTTTAATCCATTTCAAGTTAATTTTTGTGAGTGGTGTAAGCTAGGGGTCTGACATCAGTCTTTTTCATGTGAATATCCAGTTTTCCCAACATCATTTGTGAAAAAACTGTCTTTTCCCCATTAAGTATTCTTGGATCCCTTGTCAAATATATGTTGACTGTGTATGCATGGGTTTATTTCTGGGCTCTCAATTCTATTCCATTGGTCTACGTGTCTGTGTTTAGTGCCAGTACCATACTGTTTTGATTATAAGAGCTTTGTATTATAGTTTGAAATACCTCCAGCTTTGTCCTTCTTTCTCAGTACTGCTTTGGCTATTTGAGTTCTTCCTCTCTGCTCCCTAGATGCACGGACCAAGCTTTTGCCTGTTTAGTGCCTCTCAACTTGACTTTTCCACTATCTGGAATGCTCTTCCCTGATCTTTGTGTAGTTTTGCTCCTTCATTTCATTCAGGTCTCAGTTCAAATAACATCTTATAGACAACTTCTTGATCATGCTCTGAAATAAACATCCCCTCAAACTATCCTTCAGTGATTAATCTCTATCTCTTCATCTCATTCCATTTTTATAGCACTTATCATTACCTGATACTATATTATTTTTTATTGGTTTGCTTGACTATTATCTACTGTACCTACCTATACCTACCTGTATCTATTGTATTATGAGCCTAATATAATTTAATATCTATTTGATAGTTTAGCATTTTTTTGAGTCTTCCTTCCTCCCTCCCTCTCCTTCCCTCTTTCTTTCTTTCTTTCTTTCTTTCTTTCTTTCTTTCTTTCTTTCTTTCTTTCTTTCTCTCTCTCTCTCTCTTTCTTTCCTCTTTCTCTCTCTCTTTCTCTCTTTCCTATTTATCTGGATAGGTGAAAGTCCCTCTTTGTATGTGTTTCTTTATAATCCTATAGAAGTGTTTGCATTATTGTCCAGTTCTCTTGTGATGCTCTTCCAGAAAAACTTTCAATTCAAAAGCAAAATCTATGAGGTGGGGTGAAATCATTTGTAACATACCTTGCTTCTTGAAGGAACTAAATTGTAAAAATATAGCTAAAGTGTGTTATTGTTTCAAAGCTATAAGTAAGAGTATATCTACTACCTTACAGTACAGATGTGAAATTAATTTCATTTTTATTTATTTTTTTAAAAGATTTTATTTATTTATTCATGAAAGACAGAGCGAGAGAGAGGCAGAGGGAGAAGCAGGCTCCCAGGGAGCAGGGAGCCCGACACGGGACTCGATCCCAGGACCCTGGGACCATGACCTGAGCCGAAGGCAGACGCTCAACCATCTGAGCCACCCAGGCGCCCTTAATTTCATTTTCAAAAGAAGCTGGTACTCTTTGCCCCAAACAACAGAGAATTTGTATCCACTTCCGTTTGTGCTTATTGCTTCAAAGATATCTTCAACCATAAACTTGAAGGATTAAACAAATAAAAAGGACTCCTGTACTACTCAAACATCATCTGCTGTTTTTAAAAGATGTGATGACTCACAGACCCTTGAAAGTCAGAGAGCTTGGAGGGTTGTGAACAGCATTTCTTTCTACTCACCCTGCTTCTTTCATATTCTTTCCTTGAGGCAGCAAAGAGTTGAGCATTAGATATGGCAATTCCACAAAATGGAAGATACATCTGCATAACCTGGGGGCAGAGAGAGTGTTAAGAACATTAAAACCTTACTGCACCAAATGCTATATTCCTTGCATTGGCCTGATCATAATACTTTCTTTTCAACACAGAAATCGAGTATGGAATTATTGATACGAGTATCTTAAGTTCAGAAGGGATATTTTTCAGAGTTGACTCTACGATGGTCTCAATCAAGCTTTAACTAGGGACAGTCACATCTCTGAGCACATATAGTGAAGCAACAGACAATGATGACTATGATATAGGAACTGTACCTAAATCATCTGTGTATCCCTTCTTTGATCAATGAAAAAGGAATAAATGAATCAACTCATATATCTAAAATGTAAGGCAAGTGTCCACATTCACATTTGGATGGTGGCAGGCTATGAGTCAATTTCCTTGTACATGTGTATCTGTACCAGGGTTCTCAGCTTGACCCTAGCACACTGCCAGCTACAAATTTCAGTATGCCTGGTAGATTGGCCCAGTAGGAACTTAGGGGCCACAGGGCCTAATAGCCTCGTGCAAAAGAGCTCAAATTGTGCCCACCGTTCTGTTGACATAACTGGATGTGAATGCAAATGTGCAGGATGATCCTACAGAATCCTGTTTGAGGAAAGGCTGGGGATCCTTTCAGAGAGCACACTTCTCCTATGGGAAGAAACAGCTCGGTGTGGTGGGCTCGATCCTAACAAAGACTTTCTCATCATTTCATCATCACTTATTTTCAATACTTCCTGACACTCTCGCTCAGATTCATCTCCGGCATCTCTGATTCCAAAGAGAGAGAGAAAGCCCCAAGTAAAAACCAAAGGAACGATTTCCCTAGACTCTTCGCAACATAGAACATTGTGATGAATAAGATTGCTTCTTGCCTTTTGTGCAAAGCCAAAGCCTTCACCCTTTAAAAAATCTAGTTTCCTGTCTGCTTTACTTTAAAATGCCAATAATGCCCTCCCACCCTTTACTATTTGTGCCCCACACAATCACCCACCAGACAGGCAGCAGAGCAATGAACGCTCCCCATTAACAGATGGAAAAACTGAGGCTTAGAAATAGGAAATCACTAGAACTGAGCCCCATCTTCTTTTGCCCAACCCTCCATTGCAACCAGGCACTTCCTTGATGTTTCCAGGGTCTTCATGGTAGCTTATCCCAGAAGGACTACACCTTGGTTTGTTGTTTTGGTCTGAGTTGGGAAGATGTTCCTTTAGCTCCCTCCTAATTTCACCTGTAGGCTCTGTGTAGCTGCTTCCTTGCATTCAACAAATGTTCTTTGGCCCCTGCTTGGTACCAAGCTCTGAGCTAGGTGCTGGGGTCACAGATATGGAACCAGCCTCCTCCTCCACCCTTGGATGCAAATTTAAACCTCACTAAGGGCAGACTTTGAGCATCCTGTGCCACCAAACTACGATATTCTTAGCCTAGCCTCTTAGACCTCTAACCAGGAGAGAGACTGGAGAGGGTGCTTCTATAGCATGTCAACTGACTAGCATCAGGTAAATCCAGACCTAGAAAACTCGCAGTAGCTTTTAAAGAATAACTTTTACATGACCGATTGAGAGGGAACTGGGGAGTGGGTATGGAAGTTGTCATACACTTGAGGGGAAAAATAAGGATAACAAGAAATTAAAAGTCAATTTTTTTTGGTAAAAAAAAAAGGGGGCTTGGGATTTCTCTAAGGAAAAGGGCATGTTTTGTTCCATCGTCTTCCTCCTTTCCTCTGTCTCCTCTCCTGTCTCTGTCTCTGTCTCTGTCTCTGTCTCTCTCACACACACACCCCCCACACTGCAGTGTCCTGTGAAGAGGTACAGAGCGGTGGCAAAACAGAGCCGCTCCTGCATGCCCAGAAGGCAGAAGTGCAGTGTTCACCATGGGTGAGGGATGAGAATAGCAGGAGCTGCGGGAGACGCCCGTGGGACATGCAGAAAGCAATTACCTAGAGTGGAAGGTGATTTTACAGAGGGCTTGATAAAGGACAACCCACATCCCTATAATTTCTTTCCTATTAAAACCTTGCTTTGGCTACCTGGGCATACTCAACTCTGACCTCGGGTCCCAGGAAGTGTAGCACAATGCTGTACAAGCTAATATGGCGACACCACTCTTGAAGAAAGACAAACGGCAGGATTGGGAGTAGGTAGACGTACAAAACCAAGGGGTTGATTTTTTACACATCTTTCCAGGATAAATTCCTTCACTGAATTTGGTTTGAACTTCTATTTAATGAGGACCTACTAGGTGCCAGACACGCTCACTTCATTTTGTCATTTGAATAGCACATCAACTTCTCCCAGAGAGACTTTAAGTACATTTTAGAGATCAGGAAATTCAGTAACTTGCTCAAACTCACACAGGAACTCAGGTCATCTTCTTCTACAACTGATGATCATTCCTTACAACATGCTGTCTCCACAACGAGATGCTATTTCTGTCACCCCCTCATTCTCTTTCCTTGATACTCCCCCTCATGCCTTAGGAAGTTTGTTGATAAGCCCGGATAAAGCTGTTGACATAAAGCTGCCAAATATTCTGCCCGAATTTCCCTGTCGTTAGCCAGAATGGGACCACTTTCAACATTACCTCCACACACAGAAAGCACTTTTGTTTCCTGTTTTTTCTCTGCTGTGGAGGCAGTGACGATGGTGGAGGTGGCGCGGGGAGGAGGAGATCCAGGTTCTTTTACTCTCCTCCTTTTCCTTCCTTTCTTTCCTCTTCTCTTCCTCCCTCCCTCCTTCCTTCCTTCCTCTCTCCCTCCCTTCCTTCCTTCCTGTATTTATTTGCCTTCAGAGGCCATGTTTAATATGGTTTGTAGGTTATGCAAGTAGGTAGAAGAGAATGACCAAATGAATATGTGAAATGTTTTTTTTTTTTTAAGATTTTATTTATTTATTTGACAGAGAGAGACACAGCAAGAGAGGGAACACAAGCAGGGGGAGTGGGAGAGAGAGAAGCAGGCTCCCCGCCGAGCAAGGAGCCCGATGTGGGGCTCGATCCCAGGACCCTGGGATCATGACCTGAGCTGAAGGCAGACGCTTAACGCTTGAGCCACCCAGGTGCCCCATGTGAAATGTTTTCTAATATAGCTAGGCTTGCTTCAATTCATTTGTAATACCAATATTTATTGAGCTCCAAGAATTGTGTATAATTAAAAAGAATGTGAATTTTAAATTACATGACCATTGTCCTTTGTATGGCTTTTCTGTGTGAAACCCAAAAAGTCACTTAACCTTTCTGAACCCATTTCCTTATCTATAAAATGCCTGGTTTCACTGGCTAATCTTTCCTTTTTAGTTCTAATATTTGGTGATTCTAATAAGTAGAAACATCCATGAGCTGTAATATTCTACTTACTGGAGAAAACAAAGAACTCAATAAACATGCTCATATTTTATTCAAGAAATAATCATTTGTAGTAGTAATTGATATTGACACAGTCCCTGGATATGATGTTAAGCATTTTATATGTGCTCTACCCTCTGATCCTTGTAATCACATATGTCATACCATTTATACTATTTTTCGGATGGGAAAACTGAGGCTTTAGAAACTTACCCAAATTTGTTGGGAGATATCTCTCCATGGGTATCTCACATCTACAACGAGATGCTATTTCTGTCACCCCCTCATTCTCTTTCCTTGATACTCCCCCTCATGCCTTAGGAAGTTTGTTGATAAGCCCGGATAAAGCTG